CATGATTCAGAATATGCCTTTTGAGCTTCAATTTTTGAGGGGCTTAGATATATCTTATTACAAGTGCCTGTGATAAGTTGTATTCTCTCCACTTTACAAAATGGAAAAATGGAACTTAAAATGGAGAGAAAACTATGACATGAGATTGTAATAGTTGTGCTTGGGCTCATAGGAAACAGTACCTTGCTTTCAGAGGCATTTCTCTTCCAGATTAAAAATTGCAACTGAAATATAGGGATGACTTATCTGAATTTCTAAATGTTAGACCACTGAGGACTCGGAGAAATAACTTCAAAATAAGTGGTTGCCAACTATGTGTTAAATGATTTAAAGGACAGATACCTGAGTTTGTTTTATGTGATGATTTTCTTTTTTTTTCTAATTTACTAGGTGCTAGAAGACTTAATAGGCCAAATCATGCCGGATCAATTACTGCTGTGGATTAGACTCTTGTAAATGGTGTTAGGAAGTTATTTCTCTTTTAATCTGGACTTCAGGTCTTTTTTTTTTCTTCTTCAAAATTTTTGATAAAACTTAAGTGCTTTTTTCAAAGTTGCTTACATAGTTCTAGAACTATATAACCTTCTGCTTTAATTAATGTTCTTTTTTTAAAAAAATATTGGATTCATGAATCTTTCCTTCCTGTCCCCTTTGGGCTTCCCTCTCACCCTTAGGCTAGTGGGAGTTTAATTTTGTCTGAACTATGTAGTATATAAAGAGGATAGTCTGTAAAACTTCTGGAGACACACTAACGAGACTGTGCTAAAGGCCAGCAGTGATGCTGACTAAACATGTAATATTACAATGTAGCATAATTCTGTGTTCAGTATACTCAAAGCCTTTTATATTCTTTACTTATTCTTCTGTAATTGAAATTTCTTGCATGTGTGCTGTAACAGAACAGAATGTTTTGGCTACTGTTGAAAGTTAAGTCTTTAGATATATTTCAGGACTTTATCAGCCTTCAAATTTAACCCAGTAAAATATATGGTGCTTTTGTTACATTCTCAATAGCTCTAAATCAGTAAGCACTAATCTGCTTTATTCTTTGGGGAGATTGGTAGTGCAATGGGAATTACAATTGAGATAAAAGGCACCACTTCTGGCTCAAGCAGTTCTTGAACCAGAAATTGCTGAAGGGTATTGTTAGACTGTGCTGTGGAGTGCTACTTTCATTTTGCTGGTTTGGAGGCACCTGCTACTGGTCACTGCAAGATTCAGTGTTCCGAGCGAGGGAGACCTTTCGCTAAATTAAGTGCAATTAGTCTTATATTATGTGGATATAGTGAATAACTCTGCAGTATTCCCTGAACTTCCTCATAGTTCACTACTTATATTGTCTGACTTCTAAAACTTAGTGACCATTTCAGATAGTTTCATTGCTGATTGAAAAATCATTTTTAGAACAAACTTGTGCATATGCTTCTTATTATTAGGCTTTTCTGTACTTTTGGAAGGCTGAAAAAAACTATGTATTTTTTTTTAGTCAAGCTCCCTTAATGATAAATATTTTGTATAACAAAACTCGGAAATTTTATCTTAAAACCTACAAAAAATGGAGAGCAACTGCAGTACTGTGTTGAAAGAAAGGAAAGATGTGCTTATTCTAGTAACCTTTGTGTTGACCTAACTTAGTGTTGTTTTTACTATTTATATGTGCAGCACTAATTTAGTATTGTGACTTTAAAGTTCACTTTAACGTGTTGTAGCCTGAGCCATACTTCACTTGCATGTGCTTCTAAAAATTTTTTGGTGAAAAGACCTTGGATGAAACAAACACAAATAAGTGATGGTTAGATATAGTACTTAAAGATTAAGAGACAAAGGCTCAGAAATGTTTAAATGAGTAGCTACCTTCTTGGTTTATTATTTATTTATTTTAACAATGTAAACAATTAGCACTCCAATATGCTTTGACTTAAATTGGCTATTGAAGTACTTAATTAGACTTCTTCACTAGCACTGTTGACAAACATTTTAATTAGCTTAGTAGATTTCTAAAGACAACACAAGTTCTTTTTTTATACTTCTTTCTTCTTTGAGGATAATTACACCCTTGTCTGTACTTCTCAACAAGCTACTTGCCAAGTCTGGGTATCTGAAGTACTACCGCGTGTGCAGGAGTGTACATACATAAGACTTAATGGCAGGGGACTGGTGATATTTTGACAATATTAACGTGTGTGCAAGTGTCCATTAAGGAATTGAACAAACATTATCTTCCCCAAAGGTTAGTTTCTACAACAAGTATAAATTATGAACAATATAAAAGGTGCTCATATTTTTATTCTTGTCTGTGATATTTTTATTGTTTTTTTTTCTCCTTTTTTGGACAAGAATATTCAGCTGGTTGAGCAGAGTTGACAGTGAAAGCTTTAATTTGGCATACAGTAAACAGCTTTGTTCCGGCATAAAAGCCTGTAGCTCAAATGCCAATGGCTTGCTGCAGTTATACTTCATTATGCTGCTGAGCCGGAAAGACCAAAGATGTGGTGAGGATAGGAGATCATATAGTTATGTGGTCCTGCACAAACTAACGGTATTAGTATTGGAGTTTAGTTAACCTTTTGCTTTTAAAAATGAGGAAGGAAAAAAGCCAAATCAGCCTGTGCTGTCAGTGATCTGCTGATCTACAAAAACAGCTTATTGAAACTTTGAATTGGTTCAGTATGTTTGGAGCTAGTGGTAACAGGCTTCCTAGCAAAGCTTTTCAACTCTGCAAAATATGGAGCTCTGTATGATTGTCAGCGTCTTTTATAAAGGCTTCTCTGTTGTTCATCATGAGGGGGCTTCACTGAAGAACCACTGGTCACTGTGATACCTGAAACTTCATTTTCTCAAAGTCCATAGCTGTTTTAGAATTATGTTTAGGCTTTTACACATGTTGCTTGAGAGAGTTCACCTCAAGCCAGAGCTTGTTTGTTTTTTTAGAGATACAGTAATGAATGTGAGAAAAAGGAGATAAAGCTAGTTTTAAGAAACTCATTTATCTATTGCATATAATAAATTGCACAAGTAAGGGAGAGTGGGGGGGGGCGGGAAAGGGCAGTAAAAGGGTTAGTGGGATTAGTGTAACCAGAGGTTTAAGAAGATGTAAGGAAGGAAAGATTGAAGCTTGAATTATTCCCATTGTAAGAGTTTTTTTTTTATGCTTTTAGTTACTTGAAGGTATTGAAGTAAGGCAGCAAGCTATATTTCTATTTTATGGGATGTTCGTAAACTACCTTATGAATGACACACAAGATCTTACAGAAGCATAAATGGTATGCAGGTAAAATAACATAATTGTAAAGATAAGAGATTCTGTAATATAAAGACAAAAAAGGATTTTCCTTTTTAAAATACAGAACCTATTATTTTTATTAAGGGAAACAAAATAAGTTAGGTGGAATATATCTTGTTTGTCTCTTTTTGTTTTCAAGGTTTGGCTTGAGCAACAAGTTTGACACAGAATTTCCTTCTATTCTGACAGGGAAGGTAAGTGTGAGATTAAACTGTTCCTTTAGTTCAAAAGATACATTGCATCCAGTGGATTCAGTGTTACAAATACACCTTGGTGAAACAAAATAAAACAGAACAAAAATCCATTGCAGATGAGGGCTGCACTGAAGCTTAAGTAACTCTGCCCTGTGTGAACTGATTGGTCAATGATCAGTCCTTTACAGTGCCCTTTTTGTTTTTTTTTTAGGGTACATGAAAAATAAGTTGCAGTGATTATTTTTTTTAATTGATTTCAAGGCTCATTTACCCTTGTTTATAAATACCTGCAGTTTGTGCCACTTGCAGTATGGATTCAATTCTTTCAGATCCTAGACCTCTCTTTGCTTAATACCTGTCAAGTGTTAAGTTTATTTTTAGACCCTTCTTTGAAAGAAAAAGCTGTTTTCTGTAGCTCTAAGGAACAAAACATTATGGTGCTACATAACCCATAAAATTCGTTTTTTTTTTTTTTTTTAATAGATTCACCAATACATCTTGTAGTTTTCTGAAAAATTGCAGTGGTCTTTTTCTTTTTTTTCTTTTCTTGAATCGCATTTTCTTTGTTACATGCAGAGTTAGTCAATAAATATTTATATCAATTCTTGACATTTTGTAACATGATTATTGTTTTAAATGCTTTTTCACAATTGTGTTTTTCCTTATTTTTTTATGTATGCTTTCTTTAAGGTGTTTCATTCTGGTGCTTTTGTTTTATTTTATATCTCCCCTGTGTATCTCTTCCAGTATTTGTGTGGAAGAAGGTATTTGGCTCTTACTACTGTCTCTAATGACATACTGTACAGCTTCGTGAGTCTCTGCAGGCTCTTGCTGTAGCTGTCGAATCATATTAACTATATACTGAAATGCAGCTGGATGGCATCTACTTGTTTTGGCAAATCTCTGTATGTGTTATTTATTTTGTTTTCACCCCGGAGTATAATGATAAAATTCTCCAGTTGTGTTTGTCCAGCATTTTTTCACATCCCTCTGAAAAGTTTAGGAGATCTTGGGGTGTTAAAAACAATCTGTGAGTTCTGGCCTTGATTCAGCATCTCAGTGAAGTCAAACGGAAGAATATTACTGACACTATAGTGTCTGAATTGAAGGTTGGTGGTGACCCTATCTTATATTTAACTTTCTTTAAATACTGCATGTCAAAGTTTTATTCTTTCCTAAGAAACTCTTTAAGATTGCTGAAAAGCCTTGAATGACTTTTTGGTAATATTTTACCAGTTTTTAATTTTCTTTTAATCAAGACATAGTTTTCCATAAATAATGCTTAAATAAAAAGTCTAACATGGAATGTTAATTTAATTCATTTAAATAATTCCATTTATCTCTAAAATGCTAGTGTCAGGGGAAAAGAAACAGCTTTTTTTAAATACAAACCTCAATACCTGTCATATTTCCCCTTGAATGCCCTCCTGTTAAATGGACAGCAAGCAATTGGTTTTGACAATGTGTAGGAAAAGTTTAAATTAAATTCAGTTGACTGCTTGGGCTTAATTTAGCAATGCTTCTGCCTGGCATTTCCCTTTCTTGTCCCATGCACCTATCTGTGGCAGCATCAATCACAGGAAACATGGATTTGCTGTATGTAGTTGCACCTTTTTACTGAGAATGTTGGTATCCTGTTTTCTTTTTCTCATATGAAGATTCGGGCCCCCCCCCCCTTTTTTTTTTTTTTTTTTTTTTTTTTTTTTTTTTTTTTTTTTTTTCTTTCTTGCTGCCAGTCACACAGTGTCATCAAGGACATTAAAGCCAGGGTTGTGAGCTGTTTGGGGTTTTTTAATGCTTCCAGTGCAAGCAATGAATAAATCTGCTGCTTCTACTGGTTATTGAAGTCAATCACATTTATCCCTATTGAAAATGAAAACTCGGTCAGTTTGTTCCAGTAAGAAAGTATTCATCAAATACCCTATAAATAATTCACAGTGCAAAGTTATAGTCAGCTGGTACATCACTTCCAGAATTTCTGCTTTTCTCTTACAAATCACGGTCTATGCAGAGCATGGTGACTGTTTAAATTGAGTACTGTTTTTGGATTAAAATGTTTACAGTAAAGTTGCATTAATACATTACTAGAATTAAGCAATTTCATAATTTATTCGGAATGTACCTGTAAATTACATTAAATTACTCTATGCAGTGTGAATTAATATTGCTAATATATCCCATCTGCTAATGGAGTAGAAAAGGTGAAGCCATGAGGTGTGGTTCATAAGTAATTCTGTGGCACTGTTTTCTTTTTAATTATTGATCTGTATGAAAATAGATAAAACTAGCTGCACTTTTCTTACAGAAACACTATTTTGATTTATAGCACTAAATGACCTAAGAAAACTTAATTAAGCTTCCTGACCCTCAGTATACCCATCTACACAAGGACTACAGTACACCTGTACACCTTGCACTAAATTGCCTTCATCTGAAATATTTTTCTTTCGCCATCCATTTCTCATATCCCCTCATCTCCCCATTTTCACAGGTTCTGGATTATTTTAGGTGTGTTGTTTGTAGCTAGGGCACCTGTAAGGGCATCTTAAATATGTGACCTATTTGTTGCTTTTTGAGGGGCAGATATTTGAGAAAATTAAAAAGACAATGAAACCATAAGGAAAGGAAAATATCGGGTGGGCCAGAAAGTGGGCCCAGTTAATTCATTTAGGTTACCTTGATATTTATCTTGCCAGATGAGAAACAAGCTTCAATTGATTGAAGAGACAGAGGTGGGCTTTGAAAGAATTCATTCTTTAAAAATACATCTTATAAGAAAATATTTGATTTATGTTTAATGCAGAGACAGTATTTTACCATGAATAATGTGATTGGACTGGGACAGATTTAAATTCTGGCTAAATTTAAATTCTAGATACTCGAGTTTTTCAGGGTTATTATTTTGAAACAAGCATTTAAAATAGACTTTTAAAACAGTTTTATTTGTACTTTTGCTAAAGGGAAGCATATCTTCTAGTTCTAAAAGTTTAGGAAGTTTATTCACTACCCTGAATTTTTAGCCAAGCTTAAAAAAAATATACTCCTTATGATGTTTGGCACAAAGCACACACTGCTTCAGGTAACAAGAAAGTGATAGAGCCAGTGAACCTTAAGGAAGAAAGCAGAGTTTCCGGCCCTGACCTTAAAACACTAAGGGTCTCATACAGAGATTAGTGTGCGGTGCAGGGAAGTGAAAGCCATAAATGTATTCTTGGTATTGTGATCCCGTTGCCACATGTGATTGATAGGGCTTGTGAACATGGTGATTGGAGGAGGAAGATCAGGCCTGCTGGGCTTTGCTCACTCTCTTCCTGTGTTTGCATCCTGTTGTTAAAAAAAAAAAAAAAAAAAAAACTGTGAACACACCCTCCTCTCCTTTTATGTTTTGGAGGCTTTATTTTTTCCTTAAAGACCTGAAAGGAGCTAATGTCTCTCTACAAGGTGTACTGCACAGCTAGGAGCTGTATACTTATGTCTTTCTTTTCAAGACCCAAACAGAAACACTCCAAGTGACTTTCTGAAATTGTTCAAACCCAGACTTTCTTAGTGACCTTTCTCCACACAGGAAATGCTGTTAAATGCCCATTGTTTATTTGAAATATTTTGGTCATTTCGAATTATTGTTTCAATATGTCTTACTGCAGCAGTGGCAAGATGTAAAATTAGGCCAAAAATCAATAAACCTCATAGGCAACGATTTCATTTGAGTAGCATGTTAGTACAGTATTTTGTTTACAGATATTCTGTCCTTTGTCACTTGCTAACAACAGCTGCTTAACTGCTATGAAGCTATAAATTGAGAGGAATAAAATTGTGTTTTTCTCTTTACCCCCAGAATGTTCCATATTTTAGTCACTGGCCCCTTAAGTTTTAAATGAAGTTGTCATTGACACAAATATTGACTGTGTTTAGGTTTTTAAAGGGGGAGAAAATATGTGAGTAATCTTGGTCAAAGCTAAGTCAATTCAACCAAAACTATATACTCTTAAGTAATTTCATCTTATCTTGCAGCTCAGAGTTGCTACTACTTGAAAGCATTTGGTACCTAAGCAGGGAGAAATGACACTTTCATGCTAGTATTATCGTAACCATTATACCAAAATATCTGAAGTGCAAATGTCTATGCTGTTTGGTGGCACACAAAATGCATTTCCCATGCCACTCTGTGTAGGAATGAGAGTACTTTAATAATGTTCTTATAGTGTAGCATCAAACTGTTGTCTTAAAGTGGAAAAAAAAAAACATTCTTCTGAAAAACAGAAATAGAGAATTTTACCACGCCACTTTCTGCCCTCCTGAGATCTAAGATTCCGACTGACTTCTTTTCATGTTGGATGTTGACACTGATAACCAAGTTTCTGCATGTTAAGCTTGGCCGTGCGCTGTGCAGCTCCATTCTTTTGGGTAGGTTTGCACAGGTGTATTGGGGTGGTCAGAGGTGTTGTCAAGGCCCAGCAAACTTTGTGACTAATAAAAAAGGGAATGTTCTCCTTACCTAGTGGAATTTATTGCACAGGTACTAATGGTATTTAAAATGGCCTTATTTTTATCTTTAAAACAAACAGGATGATCCATGTACAAATTTCAAGGGCCTTATCAAAGAAGGTGCCATTTGTATATATCTAAATGTTAAAAACAGAGCCACGCGTAAACTTCCTTAAAAGCCAAGAATGCTCATTTGTCAACACACATAATCCTGACTTGCTTGGAAGCAGGTCTGCCCTTGGAACCTGCTCAGTGTTCCTCATACTGCAAACCATCAGCCTGATCTTTGCTATAAAATTTGCCCTCGCAGTGAAGACCAAGTAGTCTTATTAACATATATATGAAGTTTGTAGCACCCTACATGTAAGAGAGGACTTTTGGAAGAGATCTGTAAACCTTTGTTTCGGTCACATGCAAGTACAGGCTTGCTTTCCACATATTGCAACACAAATATTTTGTATTCTTTCAAAATGTCCCAATACATGGGATCTCTCTATTTCTTCTTCTCAATTGGGGTTGGGCTTTTTGAGTTCAGTACATATATATTTAGCATTCTTTTATTTAACCCGGACAAGGCTTCTGGTATAAAGTACTTTTTAAATGCTGGTGTTCCAATCAGTCCAAAGCAAACTTTTGAATTTGCTCTGCTTCGTACATGCAAAAGGGATTGTAAGGAAGTATTTTAGTATTTGGAAAAAAGTATCTCCATGACATAGCTGTGCTATACTATGCTTTTAATTGTCGTCTTCTCCCTCCTTTTCCTCCCTTCCCCTGTCCCTCCCCCCCTCCCCCCCCCAAAAAAAAAGTTACTTGCTACGTGCTTATTCCTGCTATAAAGTAATCATGATGTTAATTGATGTTCTTATGTTACTGAATGTAGGCCTAGCTTGTATACAAAGCAAGATGACCCCTGACTTTGTATTGCATGGTGATCTGAATGGCCAGGAAGCAGGTGCAGTTATTTAATCTCTTTTCTGCCGTGTTTTAAAGAATTTAGCTCTTGTGACTAGGTGGTGGTGTTGGGGTTAGGTCCTCTTGACTTCCTGTCCCCTGCCCCTACTCTTTTGGTGAAAGGTGTCTTTGTCATGATTTTGTTTTTTCCTTTTGCTTGTTTGCATAGTCAAATGAGCCGGTCTTGGTTGGAGTAACTGTGTAATAATTGCATGGTTTAGAATGCAGATTAAGACTTTTTGTATTCCTTCAGCATGACAAGCGATTAGGAAAGAAACCTTTTTCTTTTTTTGAATTGTTTCACCTATTGTCTATTGAAGTTGGATTCAACTGACATAATCCAGAGCTTGGGTTCACTAAGCAGAATAAAGTTCAGAGTGCTGCCTTGGGTACAAGCTACGATACCATGAGTCCATTTGTGACTAGTTGAACGCAAGTTACTTAGATCACCTGTGCAGAGCTGGTATCCTCTGTGGAGTGTTAATACAGGATATGCTTAGGCTGCTTCTCAGTACTGAGTCTGGTAGCTCGTCTGCAGAGATATGAAGGACTTGGGGCATGTGGATGGTTAAATGCTCTCATTCTTTTAGAAGAAACACGCTGCTGCTGGAGAAGCTTCTTTCTAACAGCATGCAGTTTCCCGCTGTGAATCTGCAGTGGCTATATATAGAAAATCTTATTTTGAGCAAGCTTTTCTGAATATTTCTTCATTTAAAGAAGTTGTTTATCAAGCCGTATTTTTAAAATTGAGAACTTACCAGATAAAATGTCATGATGTAAAAACCATGATGTATTGTCTAACTTAAAAAATAATAATAATAATAAAATTATTAATCATTCTAGGAAGTTTTTTTTAAGATAATACCTGTGTGTTTGCACAGGAGTTCTGGAAAAGGGCAGTGTACATTTTTAGGGTGCCTCTGACCTTTGGAGGCTTTTCTGCAGCCAGTGGAATGGGGGGAACAGAGCCATGTGCTTACACCTTATACACTGCGATCAGTTGAGTGTCACTGAACTCCAGCCAGTGATAAAGAGGCCTTTGCACTAAGTTACAGGATGATAACCTGAAACACCTGAGCCTCATGATAACTGCATAACCTTTGTTTTGGAAGATTGGGTTGTATTGTATAATGACATTATGTTTCACTTACCTTTAGACCAGCAAGAGCGAATTATCAGGAGAATCCTCTCTAAAGGTTTTCAATTGAAGTTCAGCACTTCTGTTGCAGGTTGCCCCAGAAGAATTCAAGACCAGCATCAGTCGTGTGAACTCATGTTTGAGAAAGAACCTTCCTGTTAATGTAAAATGGCTACTGTGTGGCTGTTTGTGCTGCTGCTGCACACTGGGCTGTAGCCTGTGGCCTGTAGTCTGTCTTAATAAAAGAGTGAGTATATGTTTCATTTTATTATATATATATATATATTGTTATTTTCATTCTTTTGCAGTTACTGGTAACATTAAAGTTTAACAGCATCTTCCTCAGAGCAAATGGTTTTGAAATATCTCATTTGCATTCAATAACTTATTCTGCTTTTCTAGATTTTACCTTAAAATCTCTAGATTTTACCTTAAAATCATTTATTAATGAAGTAAACAATGCTGAATTGCCAATTGATTGATTGTCTAGGTGTAGCTACTCCCACCTCAGTTCAAGGAACATGATGAAGCATATGATACCGTGAACATTCAGGATCTATAAAGTTATAGCAATTGTAATAAATGAGTGCAGAACAGATGTTCGAAAGTTCTCCTAACTGAAGTGAAAATTACCCTTCCTTGTGTTTTTCTCAGAAATAAATATTTCTGAAAGTAATAACTTGGTATGTAGTATGTGTTATAATTGTTCTGAACTGTGGCTTATTTGACACCTTTTATTGTTCTATTTCTATTAAGATCGGGATTTCAAATTTTTCATTTTGAGTGTGTTAGAATTTCCTTTTATTTTGTCAACTTTCTGTTGAAGAACTTCTTTATTGGGCCCAAAATAATAATCCTGAATGACACTTCACAAGATCAAGTTGTCTTTATTGCTTACATTTAGAATTGGTTTATCAGTGATAAACATGCTGGAAAACTGTAAATAGAAACAGTGTAAAAATATTCTTTGCAGTTATATACCTTGTGTTACTTGAGCTATAACACCTTACTTATCCAAAACTGCTATTAGTAATAGTATGAGGAAGACTGGAGGAAAATTATTTCATACTTGCTAACTTATGCATAGTAGAAATATTTTAAAGCATAGTAGGTCTTGCCATTGAGTTTATTGTCTTTAAGAATGCATACTAAAAGCAAAAACAAGAAATAGGCAGTGATTTTCAGAGAAAATGAACCAGAAGTGTGTTTTGCCAGGCTTTCCAACTTAAGAAAATAACAGTAACATTGATGGGCAAGTAAAGCCATAAAAGTAATATGTAATATTCCCCAAACAGATTTCTTCAGGTTAGATTTTTTTTAGAATTCTTTTGATTTTATTGTTGGTCTCCTCTGATGAGAGAACCAGAAACAAGTAATTTGTTTTTTATGGTGGAGACCAAAGCTTTGCAGAGGCTTCAGAGGCAATAGCATTTGTCCACAAAATGCTGAAATCACAGCCCTGAAAGCATTTTGGGTTAAATGGCTGATTGCTGAGGCCTGTATCATTAAAATATTACAAAATTTTTTTTCCTCATTTTATCAGCATTTACATACGCTCTTACTGCAGAGGAACATACTTAAGATATACAGATGAAATATTTGAAATTTTTAGAGACATTTAATATTCTTTTGCTAGTGAACATACAAATAAATGAGCATGCAAGGCACAAGTATAATTCTCAAGAGTATACAAAGATAGATATTGAGCAGGATTTGGGAAGCCCATGGTACTACTTCAGATGTGCTTGTATATATGTATGGCTAGGTACACATACACATATAGAAGAGCACCGAAAATACTTGTTTTGTTATTCTCGCATCCAAACTAATTTTGCCATCACTGGGCAACACTGTAGTATGTACATACATTATGTAGTGCATTGCTAAGACCAGTATTGAAGTATTTCCAGTTAAGAATCAACAAGTCATTAAAAATATTTCAAGAATTGGGAAGATGCAGAGAAAAACAGCTAAATGACTTGGAAAACTTGAGAATGTTTCTATTCAGCACATTGAATGCTGCATTGAAAAGTAATTTAATCACTGTAAGAACAGCATGTATAAGATAGTTCTTGCTTTTCTCATCTAGCAAAAATTGTCTTTACAAAATCCAAAGGCTGGAATATGAAACTTGGCTGGAACATGAAACATGTGCTTTTTAACCCTGAGAATAACTTTTGTCACTGAGGAAAAATACATCTTTACAAGGAAGTGGTGATTTCTCTACCATTATATATTTGAGTCAGGGTTACATATCATTTTATATGTATTAAAGTGACATTGTTTAACTCACCTTCCAATATTAGGTTGAACAAATTGATTGATGGATATTGTTCCATGGCATCCCATGCAGGGTTTAGAGTACCTAACCGGAGTAGTCTTTCTATGACCTTAAAAGTATCTGAAACTCTAACATAATAAATAAATAAAGATTTAATAAATAAAAGACAAGATTACTTGTCCTCTCCCACCATCAGTGAAATGACTTCTTAGTTTTAGAAAGAGATTGACTTTTTGTCGCAATGAGGTCCCTACTGCAGATCTCGGCTGGTTAGTGAACTGTATCCTATTCAGGGGGTTCCTTTTGTATGTTGATGGTTGCCATGATCTTTTGGCACTTAAGTACTATGTAAGCTCTCAGCAGGGCTGAGGAGGGAGCTTGCAAAGACAGCAGAATATGAAGATCATAATGTACTTTAAGCATTGAAAATACGGACTCAATTTGTTGTGAGTCAGAGTTCAATGGTCCTGATATTTTTTTTTCCAGGATTTGGGTGAGAAAATTAGCAAAACCTGGATATTACATATATGTGGGTTCCTTGCTTTCAGTTATTTGTTCATAGAGGATGTCATCTTGTCCAAAAGATTGGAGATTCTGTTTGGTTGACTTGGCTATGGTGGCCAAAAATCCTAAATTCAGAAGGACCTATAATAATTGAAAGAGGATTTGGGAAGTTCCAGTCCTAACTTAACAACAACAACAAAGTTTTTCTGAAGAAGATCAAATGTTGAGAAATGGGTAGTTGACATGGTAGGACTTGCATTTTCAGTTTTTCTTTTGCTTGCGTCTGCTTCTATAAAACTAACTTATTTTAGATTAAACTTAGGCCAGAAACACAATAGTAAAGCTCTTCTGGATGAGGCTGGCTACTGAACCATTTATAATACAGTTTTGACTTACTTTTTAGACTAGAAGATCAATTCAGAAGTTATTAGAATGGGAAAATAACAGACTATATCATAAGGTAAGAAAAGTTAGAGTGCTTGTTTTCTTCAGTTTTAAGAATAGTAAGTTTTTTGCATAACTGGCTTAGGAATTTTACTGTCCTATTATAATTTCATAATTTTTATCCAGTCCTGATCTTAAGCCTTAGAGTGCAGATGCTATTAATTTGGTATATGCTTATGTTATATAGCTCACTTAAAATAATGCTGTATTACACATTAATCCCCTGATAATTGTATTTTCTTAGCTTGGTTTGCACTGGAAGCTGAGTAAAAGGAAATGCGAAACTAGCAATATGATGGAATATGTAAGTATTATTTCTGTAGCTTATCTGGTATTCAGCATTACTGTGATTTTATAGAGCAAGTCCTTAACTTACTCGATTCTCACCTGCCTGAAAAATCTCAGAAAATGGACAGTCTTGTTTGGCATATACTGCTAAGGCAACTCATAATGAGAGCAGCCATGGCAGATATTGAAACTCAGAAAAGGTGACTGCTAACATATTTTCTCTTCATAGCCGTTCTATGCTTGCGTTACAAGTAAACTTATCTTATCTGTAATTTCAAATGAGGGTGACCCACTGTAACTTCATGCTTTGCTGTAATTCCCACAGCAGTCCAAAGGCTCTTAACACTTGCTAGCTACTGATAGATCAGTATTTGAGACAGAATATTCATTTAGGAAAGCAGAATTTGAGGTATTTCTGTTGTCCTTCTGCTATCCCACCCATTTTCATGTGTAGCCATAAAGGTTTCCTACACTTGAAGAATAGTAGTAGTCACCTCCAAAAAGTCAAGCACCACAAGAAAGATGTGCATTTCTAAATGACTGAAATATCTTTTGTTATTCTGAGAAACTTTGCCTTCCTAAAGAATATCTCAGATATGTTTAGTCTCACCTACTAGATAATGTTGCATGGAAATTGTGCTAAAGGTTTGAACGCTTTGGTTACTGTGTTCTGTTATTGTCTTTTTCCCTTTTTTAACAGGTAATATTAATAGAGTTCTTACCAAAATATCCCATATTTCGACCTGACTGAGGAACAGCATTTGGTCTTTCATGTTACCTGTCATTTTCTACCCTTAGTGCCTTGTAGATGATTTTGGAAAGAAGATGGTCTACTTTGCTGTGATTTAAAATGTTCTTCAGTAGAATATCTTCCTTGCTATGTTACTTTCTTTTGTTTAAGAAGAGAACAATTTGCACATTTTGTTATGTTAAATGAAGCTTCTGTGTTGCACTCTGAATTTTTAACATTAACAACTGATGTAGTTGCCACTAGGGATCTAACATCAGTGCTGCTTAAACTTGTTCTGAGCATGCTGCCTTATTAATTTCTATATTTGCTGTCCTTAAACATACATCCTAATACCGTTTCATACTGTATTTCATTCTAAATGTCGCACTCCTGTAAATCCTCAGTAGAAACGTCCAGGTAAGCTTCTAATAGTAATGATTTTAATATAACTTGCTTGCATAGGACTTGCAATTGACAGCACTGGTTTTGTCCTGCACTTTGCAAAATCATCATTTACATTAGGGGGGTAATTATTTCGACCACTATGGATTTGTAAATATTGACTCTTTGCATAATGTAAAGTGTGGTATGCCAAGGTTTACAGAATGTAATATAGCTCTTGTTATTCCATTGCCAACAATTCGACATAGTTTTATTCATTACATTTGTTAGCATCCCTCTGATTGTATAGACCCATTCACATGCTGTTTTTATGGTAAAGCCATAATGAGTTTGTACATACAATCAGATGTGTAGGGCTCAGTTGCACTTTTTTTAGTAAATGGATGAAAACTGAATAGCATTTCTGGTTTTGTTATGTTTTTTTTTTCTTTTAATTTCAGGTGTCATTTATACTACCTGAAATATGAACCTTAAATACTGTTCATCTTTGAAAAAGTCACATTTGTTATGTAGACAGCAGCTGTTACTATCAAAATATCCCAAAACCTCTTTTTAAACTATGCTTATATGGATGTCTCTATGGATTTTTTTTTTTAAAGTAAGGAAAAAAGTGTTTCAGAATTGGATACTTCTGTTATTAAGGGAGGGGAAAATAGACCTCAGTAATACTGAATCCTTTCTAGCATAGATAAGTTTTACCTAAATCAGAGTAGCATTCCAGAATATGCTGATGGGAGGAAGTTGAATGAATCATTTGGATGTATTCATGCATGTTTTAGTGGGTGGCATGCAAGCACTGTCTGCAGAGCCAAAAATGTCTTGTGGAATTCGCAGGTAGTTTGGACTCTTCCATGTTTGCCAGATCTTGGAAAGGGAATAATCGCAGAAAGATTTTTCTATACGTCTGGCTTAAGCAAGACCATTTCATAATAGCAAGTGATGAAAAATGATGCAAGCTCCCTTCCTTTTCTAATTAGAAATAAGAAGCAAAAGAAAAGCAGCACCTGACTTTGTGTCTGTAAATTGTGATGGATATCATTGTAAATGTCCAGGCATTTCTTTGCAGCAACCAGACTTCTTTTGGCACCAGCTGATTTTTTTTACAGTTTCATGCTGATTTAGGATTTCCTCAGAGTGTACTTTCACAATTTTATTATGCAATGTTGTATTAAAATAAAGTATTGGTAAATACTCTAGCCTTCTAACAGCTGGAAAAGGCAAGATTTCTGGTGCAAGTGATTAAGGAAGGCCAATTTTATTCAAGCTGTTCTGAATCAATTGAGGAGTAAGAACAAGACAGCTGAGGAATGTCAACCTCCAGAGCTTGTGCTAGTTCACAGTCCAACTGATGCTTTAGACTCTGAAATCTGTATGCTTAGTGCAAAAGTTTCATTTGACGTTAGTAGATGAGTGGCAGCTAGTGTTTAGTTGCATTCATAACATAAAAAAAAAAGTGGTCTGGATTTAATGCTAGCTACACCCTGCAACTCAGACTTCCATCAGAGCCATTTGGGATGAGTGTTAGCTAACTGGAAGCAGAAAAGATGCTTTATGGTGGAAAAGCACAGTGTAAACCAAAATGGAAATAGCAGATCCAATTCTATGTGAGTTTCCTATACAAGACAGAAAATGAAAGGAGCTTAGCATAATTAGTTTTGGTGCCTTAGATTGATGGAAGTTTCTTAATGTTGCACCAAAAGTTTGTTGTTAATTTTATTTTTGTGCAAGAAAGTAAAAAAAAAAAAAAATCTCAACAGGTCATTATTTTTCTTCTTTTATGTGAGTACATTTTCAAAATGTTCCTCTCAAGCTGAGAGAGCAGGCAAGGCCAACGAGAGCTCTATTAATTGCCAGCGTTGAATACCCAACACTTCATTGCTCTCGCTGCTGACAGAGATCCTTTTCAGAGTCTGGGCCGACTTCATCATATTCAAAATCTCTCCATCTTATTTGTCTTGTTTCTGTGAAATTCTGTGCCAACCTGAGAAAATATCCTAAGCCTTTCCACTTAAGCAGTATATTGCATAGCATATGAATTTAAAAAGTTTACATTTAAGTGCATAAATTCTGTAAATGTTACTTTATGCTGAATTATGAACTGTATGACCTTTAACACATGAAAGGGTCTCTTCTCTTTGTGTTTTAGTAGGCATCTAAACTTGTGGCCATAAAGCAACTCGTAAAGAGTATGAGAGCCAAAACAGCAATTTTTAGCAAAATTCCATATTTTAATAAGTAGATATACATTAAAAATGTACAACCAGCATGCAATACCATTTGCATTTGAGAGTCGCAGGTTCCCTACTTCACTTGAAGCTGAAGACCGTTGCAAGTACTGCTGCAAACTCTGTGCACTATGTTCTGCCTACACGTTCTCGCTTGCCTGGGCTGTCCTTTGCTTTATTATAAGAACTTTCAGTGATTTATTATATTTTGGAAGACTAAAAAAATCATTTTAGTAAAAAGTCGGAATGAATTAGTAAAACCGCTTATGAAAGATGCTTGTTAATTGGAGAGAGAATTCATAGCAATATAACAGACTAATGTTAGCAAAGCAGAATAGTGATGGTAAAGAAAGTGCCTTGACTGGTTCCGGCAAAAGAGAAAATACTGGGCAAAGAGTGAAAAGAAAAGGGAACTAATAACAGTATTTTGTGTGAGTTTGCAACAATCTTTTTTTAAGAGCAAATACGGAAATACTGTCTACCTAATCAGTGTTTGATTTTTTCACATAAACATGTTGCCAGTTACTTTCCTTTCTAGTTTTTATCTAGGAAGTACTTGATTTTGTATCTAGGATGTCTTTGCATCTTAAGAAGTATTAAAGTATCAAAAAAGAGTGGAGTAGCAAAGCTCTAAGCTACTCATTTTTTTCCACTTGCATTTGTGAAATCGTTCAACAGTAGGAGGAAAAAAAAATATATATATATGTTTCAAGACACATACAGACACATCTAGGAAGTGTGGATTTGATTGTATATGAATGAGTAAAACAAAACCATTTTTTGCTAAATCCAGTGTCGTCTTGAAAAACACAAACATTCTTATGCTTTTCTTGACAGGTACAAAACTCCATATGCAAAAACATAAATATATGTGTATTAGTGTCCCAGTATGATATTTTACTACATTACTTGTAAACACACTACCATTGGAGCAATAAAAATATCAAGCTATTAATATTCAATGTAAATAGTTTATCATTTCAGTAAACAATATGTGATTCTGCATTTTTTTTATTTTCTACTTTAGATGTACTCACAAAGTTGTAACTTGTATTGCTTAAGTGGTTTTGTTTGAGTTGTATGAAAATTCTTTTCTGAATTGTGCTCTTTATTTTTATTCTGTTTACAAGTGAACAGACACTTTTTAATAAGACCTCACACCTTGAAAGTTTTTTGTTGTTGTTTTGTTGATTTTTTTTTATAATAAAATTCTAACTGAGCTCTGTATCTACAACTTACTGCACTGGCTTGTGCCATTAAAAGAAGCTGGAAGTCAGACATGCTTAATCACTTTGAAACATTTTTCTTTAATTAAATTTAAAGATGAAAACCTTTAAATAGCGCACCGTGTTTATGGAAAGCAGCCCCTCTGCGTCTCTTCCTGTGGCTGCATGCTGATGTGCTGTGAGCGGATGGGTGGTGGTAGGTTTTCCTTCAACAAGACACTGCTGTGTTTCTGATGGGGACATATTGGCTGCTTGCCAATTCTTGGGGCTTGGAGAGGGGTTGGGCTGGTTCAAAGAACAAGAATTGCCAAACTTGGGAAGTCTTTCCCAAAAAGAAAGCTGCAAAATGAGTGTTATGAACCATCTCATGTAGGGATTTTTCAAAGGGGCCTCTTGCTACAGGGCTCCGATAGTATCTAGAGCAATCATGATGTTTCCTTACAGTTGGGTGATACATAGCTTGGAAAAGTGGAAGGTTATTTTCCCAGTTTTGTTGTACCTACACCTCAGAGCCTGACTTGAGCAGGTTCTATGAGCAGGTTCAGTGTGAAACCGCTGCTATATAATACGGGAGCAATTTAGAAAATGGTGCTTGGTTGGGGCAGCCAACATAGGAATGCTGCACTGAGTCATCAGGTTAATCTCTGTGATTTATGGGATGTTAATTGGCTAAGTTACATGTTAAGTTCTTTTAAAAAGGCGTGCATTGTGCATATATATACATCATATGTATATATGTCATTTACATGTATAGATGTCATTTGCATGTACGTATCATATACATGTATATATATCGTTTTCTTTTAACGTGGAAGCTACCAGGGCCCATCACTGCCGCCACCAAGCAGGAGAGGCTACGCCGTGAGGGGACGGGACGGGAATTCGGGAGCGCTCTGCGCCGACCCTGCCCCCTTCCGCCCGCGCTTTCCCGCGGCCGGGGCGGCGGTGCCTCAGCCCCGCCCTC